TATTCCATCAATTCCTTGTGCCCTGTTTTTGCTAATTCCTTTAATGCACCTTGGACTTCCTCCTTCAACATCATTGCCTCTTGGTTATATGCTACCTCTTCAAATGGTTGAACACCAACCAGTTCCTTTTGGTACAATGACTTTGGGTATTCCTTCCATTTTTTTTTTTTTAAGGTTTTTATTGTGAATTGAGTGAACGTTTACAGGGCAGATCATCAGTTTTACATTCAACAAATCCTACACCTTGTTTCATTACAATGATTATAACCCCCTCCATGTACCATCAATTAACAGTATGTCTCTCTCTTCATTTTAGCTTCTTAACAAAAAAAACACTCAGGCTTATATAATAATTTACACCTCCAAAAGGCACATTCTGCAAGTCTGCCTCCTGGCCACCAGCTCTTAGTCCCTCTCTTCCCATCAGTCTAGAGTCCTCAGCTGCTCCCCGTTTCCATGACCCCATTTCTGCCTCCGTCTCTGGTGTCGCTGCTTCTCTGGATAAAGTCCCGCATTCTGCTTGTGCTCTTCTCCCTTGATAGTCCTAGGGTCCTCTGTTTCTGGACTGTAAAATTAACTACTCCCCAGTTTTTGTTACAAAACTTCTACCTTTACAATTGTGACAGTCGCAATTAGTCATGATAACAGTTATTCACTATTGAATCATGTGAATCTCATCCTCATCTCTTTTCACCAGGCCCATCTAGACAAGATGAAAACTATGCAGTGGGGACGTTTTATTCCAACCTATACTCTTTAACTAAATTCCCTCTTGAAACCTTGTAAGCCAGTCACTTCGTGCCTTTATTGCCTCCTCATTTTAGGTAGCCAATGTCTAAGTTGCCTGCCCCTATCTACCCTGTGTACAGAAGGGATAACATTGATACCTGAGTGAAGACCCCTTCCCTCTCTGTTGGTATTTAGAGTAACTACCTCCATTAGTATAAGGAACTCTGGTAGCATAGTGGTTACGAATTGGGCTGCTAACCTCAACATCAGCAGTTCGAAATTACCAGCTGTTCAGCGGGAGAAAGATGAGGCTTTCTGCTCCCATAAAGATTTACAGCCTCGGAAACCCTGTACAGGGCCACTGTGAGTCGGAACTGACTCCACAGCACATAACAACAACAACAACATCAAAGTAAGGTCTGATCAATAAGTCAGGTAAAGTTAAAAAGTTTTATTGGGTAGAAAAAATGTTCTTGAATTAGAAGCACCTGTCTGAAGAAATGAGTTTGTCACATTACAATTTGATCACCTTATAAGCAATACAAAGTGTTAGTGGAGCTCCCAAAAGAGAAATTGAAAATAGTTGGTTGTCATTTACTGAATTAGCTGGAAGCATCTTAGATTGGTTTATTAAATTTATGTGTTTATATTCTCTAGGTTGTTATTGGTAAATAATCAAGTTGGTTCTGACTTAGCAACCCTGTATAGCGTTTCTTAGACTTTCCATCTTTTTGGGAGCAGAGAGTCTTCTCCTGCGGAGAGGCTGGCGAGCTTGAACCACAGGCCTTGTAGCTCACAGTCCAGTGCTTATCTTATGGAGCCACCATGCTTCCATTCTATAGGTTAGTTGTGACTTACCTAATTATTAAACTTTTTTACCAGAGCAGCTTCATCAAGAGATTGTAGTTACTGGGAAGGGTGGAGATTTAAGGTCAAATGGGGAGACAATTTTCTTTTAATAGTCACACACTGCCCACTGCCATTGAGTCAGTTCGGACTCACAGCAGCATTGTGGACAGAGGAGAGCTGCTGCATAGCTTTATGAAGCTGTCAGTCTTCACGGAAGCCGATTGCCTCCTCTTTCTCCTGGAGAGTGGCTAGATTCCACTTAACAGCCCAATGCTTAACCCATGGTGCCACCATGGTGCTTGGTATTTAAAAGTAGTGAATATTAAAAGAAATTGTTAGTAAGATATTTTACATTCTCTTTCTTTCAATACTAATAACCAAAATCCAGCATAGATTTAACATTTACATACACATCTCACTTTGGAGAGGGTGTGGAATGAAGAGGATGTTGCTGACACTGGATAGATTTTGGTTGAAAGTAGAGCATACCAGAAGATGTTTGCTTGTGTTTTATTAACTATGCAAATGCATTTGATGACCATCTATGGATAACATTGAGAAGACTGGAAATTCCAGAACACTTAATTGTGCTCATGTACAACTTGTATACGGAAGAGAACAAGGAGCTAATGAGTTGTTTAAAATCAAGAAACAACCAAATTGTCTCACTTACTTTGGACATGTTATCAGGAGGAGGGACTAACTAGTCCTTGGAGAACAACATCATTCTTGGTAAAGTGGATGGTCAGCAAAGAAGAGGAAGACCTTCAATGAGATGAATTGGCACAGTGGCTGCAATAGTCATCTCAAGCATAGCAGTTGGCAAGGATGGCCCAGATCCAGGCAGTGGGTCATTCTGTTCTGCACAGGATCACTACGAGTTGGAACCGACTTGCCAGTGCCTAACAACAACATAGCCTTTAGTGTTCAGTTGGCACATGTTGTTGCTGTTAACTGCATTCCAACTCATGGGGATCCCATGTATGCAAATCAAGGTAGAACTACTCCATAGGACTTCCAAGGATGCAACAATTCGGCAAATAGATTACCATGCTTGTCTTCCAACATAACCTCTGGGTAGTTTGTTAAATGGCTGTCAAGTTACTTCCGACTCAGAAACTCTGTATAGGGTTTCCAAGGAGTGGCTGGTGAGTTTGA